TCAGCTACTTTTGAATATGGTAGGTTCTGCCCAATGTACTTGAAAGCCAAGGATGAGAGTGTAAGTAGTCTAATTTTCCGCTCGAGTTGTTCAGGGGCGATTTCTATGAAACTTTTTCATAAGCCTAAGAGTGCTATAAAAGTAAATACTACACGTACGGTATTTTTCTAGAGTGCCTGGATGACCCTTTTCCCATGCTTGGTATTCAGGGAGACCGTTGTTGAGGAAAATCAAAAGCAGTGAGAAAAGTTCATGACTTTTCACAGCAAGGACAGTGTCTAACTTGAACAAGGGATCGAAATTGAAGATTGTGTCTAGGCGAAGGGCAACTGCAATTGCCTCAACGGCTGCACTTTGTCCCGCTTGTGAAGAAGGTGGGAGGCTTTGTACATAGAGCAAGGAATACTCGTAAGAGGTCGTTCTGAAATGGACAATTCATCAATGACCGCAACGCGACCGCAATTCAAAAACTTACAACCGGTCGGCCTTGGCATGGGCATCTACGATGGATTTTAAAAATGCCGCTTTCTCGTCGGCAGAGATATCCCATTCAGATATCCATTTTTCTACGTCTGCCTTGGTAAGTTCCAAGACATCGATATCATCGTGTGCATTTGCAGTCGCAAGTAGGGATTGGTAAACAAGAAGTCGTAATGGAGACGTTCGAGGGAGGGTATTGAAGAGATTTGATAAACTAAATCGGGGTTTAGGATTTAAGTAGAAGAAAAATGTAAGGACATACATTCGGTATCTGATAGATATTCGGTCACTGGCAGAAGATGGGGAGGATAATACTTTGAGTAAAGAGGTAATGTATTGTTTGAGTTCCGGAGAGCTTGGTGAGTATAGTGCGAACAAGTGGGCGAACAAGAGGTTGAAAAAGCCTTCAACTTCTGTTGCATTGTTAGCTCTATGTCGATTCAAATTTCACAAAGAAACTCACCTTTGTCGGATCCTTCACCCAAACCTTTTACATCAGCCAACACCTTGGAAATAATCAGCTTCCTTCTATTTTCATCCTCCTCAATAGGTTTTTTTCCCTCTGCTGATTTGAGAGCGTTTTGGAATGGGGCAACAAAGGTGTTACGCTCATCCTCAGATCTGTTCCTTACAATATAAGCGACGAGTTCTAAGATCTAGTTTGATAAAAGTCAATCTACGTCAGTCTTAGATGAAGCATTGCTCTATGTACCTGCTCCTCGAAAGTCCCTTCTGCAAATATCGAAACAGAATCCGCTGTGTTCACCATCTTGTTTTGTGAAAATCGAAACGCGCCAGATTTGGAAGTTTTGTGCTGCAAAGCCTTTACACAACAAGAGCAAACTAATAAGTAGCAGTACCGTAAAGCCAAACTTGATTGGCACGTATTTCTTCCCAGGTCCAACGCGTCTTGTAATTAATAGCTATCGTAGACGCGTTATCCATCGTTGTGTAGTATAGAAGCTGGCTATAAGTCCACTCCAAGTCATTGTGCAAGAAGGTGAAGAAACGGGTTAATTTATGATTTTCGGCATCAGTTAGAGCTACGGCCTATTAATAGAGATGTATTTGGGTGATAGGATTTATATTGAGTTCAGATGGAGCCAGCGGTTTTCCGAGAGGCCGGAGTATCTGGTCAGTATCTGGTCATTCACCCGTTTATTGGTCCTTTCTTTGGTGGGCGCGGTGCATAATTGTATTTGGAGGTTGCTGGGGTCGATGAAATGAGTGTGGTGAAGTTGGATGGAGTGTGAGCAGCTGCTGTGCCATAGGATAGTGTTGGGGTATATGTTAGGTAGTAGAGAATGTGGATGCTGTGCCCCCGGGCCGAAGAGCAGTTTCTAGTATTAAAGGTGTTAAGATGCATATTGGGTACCAAGACGCCCATTGAATTCTCATTGCTCAATAATCAAACGACGCGACGGCACGCGTCCTCGTTTAGCAAAGTCATATGATATTTATGTGGGAATAAATGCACATCGTTGATCAACGTTCGATCAACTTGGAAATCATGATGGTCGCGAGCACTCCATATGAAGGAGATCGAGAGTATCCTGCTGGAAAATAAGTCAGGTGTAGTCTCCTGTAGCACACGCCAAGTTGTTAAATGTAGGACAATTGTTTATCTAATCTTGGGTGCGCGTGAACTGTTCATAGCTTCATCACCGAGACAATTGCGATACAATCTTTTTGTTGTACACCACAATTAGGAACGTCGTTGTCAACCAGAACGGTAAGATTCGCGGCGGAGCCTGTTGCGATGTGTGGAATCCCTGGACCTAGGTTCAAGTTAGTGCCGTATAAATGCCCCTGAAGTTCAATCCGTCCACCGTCAATATACCCCATGCTCTTCTTTCCCATCCTATTTATTCTTCACACAGCTGCTCTCGTGTTGACTGCGCCTTCTAAAGAACGTGCATACCAACTCAAGCAGGAAATCAGCCCTCCTTCAGGCTGGGTCAAACATAGTAAACCAGCTCCATATCACAACATTGTGCTACGTTTCGGTCTTCCTCAATCCAATTTCCTCGAGTTGGAGAAGCATCTGTACGAAGTAAGCGACCCAGACCATGAACGCTACGGCCAGTACCTGTCCAAAGAGCATGTCGACGCGCTGGTTGCTCCTCCTCAAGAAAGTTTGGATCTAGTAGACGAATGGCTCGCGACTTTTGGCCTCAGTGACGACCGTATTGTTCGCTCAACAGCTAAAGACTGGATAACGTTGACCGTTCCCATCAGTTTAGCTGAGAAAATGCTTGATACTGTTGGTTTTTTCAACTTGCATCCATTCGCTTCATCGTTATTCACGTATGGTGGCTTAGACGTATCATGTATGGAAACATACCGATAGCAACGACTACCTAGTTCGCACAACCAGCTATAGCCTCCCCACCAATCTTCATGACCATATCGAGGTGGTCCAGCCGACAACAATGTTTGGACGGTTCAATCCACAAAACTCCATTCTATTCCGTTTGGAAAGTCTTTCTGCTGACCATCAGGCTGATACCGCAGCACAAGTTAATTTACCCCCCATCGTCGACCTCGTTTCTGGACTCAGCGTGGATGGTAGTTGCAGGAACACGATTACTCTCTCGTGCCTCAAACAAATCTACAACGCAGTGGGATATATTCCATCTTCTAATGACAGAAACTCTATCGGAGTTACAGGATACATGGTAGGATACACATAACTATCCAAAATCAATTGGGCTCACCAGCATTGACAGAACCAATTTGCTAACCTTGATGATTTGCAAACATTTTACTCAAAACAACTTCCGGACGCTGTCAATTCTTCCTTCAAATTCATATCCGTCAATGGTCAGGACCTTATGTCAATTATTATATTGAACAAGTCTTGAATATCCCATAAACAGGAGGGCTCAATACCCAGGATTTATCACGAGCTGGTGGTGAGGCCGACCTGGATGTGCAATTTGCTTTCGGGCTTTCACATCCTATTCCTGTCAGTCGGGTTCACAAACAATTAATTTAATCTAAAAGCTCACCCACGCTTCATTAGGCGACATTTTACTCTACCGCTGGTGCACCACCATTTAATCCGGACAACGTGAATCCCACAAATCACAATGAGTACGTTATCAAATTGTATTATCTTCTTTTTTTATTATAAAAATTCAACGACTTTCTATTCCAGACCCTACATTCAATGGCTGGAATTCATGAACTCCCAACAAGACCCACCTTTGGTTATCTCGACAAGCTACGGTGACGATGAACAAACAGGTGTGTGGAAGAGTTCTTCTCTTGTCTCTCATGTCACGGAAACCCGCCGATTCTTCCAGTTCCCATGGATTATGCTGTTCGTGGATGCGCAGAGTTTGCGAAACTTGGTATACTACCTGCCTTCTTTCCTGCATTCGACTCCTACTTATCGATAGCTTAGGTGCTCGGGGAGTTTCGTTGATATTTGCATCAGGAGATTCCGGCGTTGGAGATGGCAATCCAGATCCTGCTACGCAACAATGCCAGACCAATGACGGCCGGAACGTGACAGCTTTCATCCCAACTTTCCCCTCAGGGTGAGTTTTAGATCTTCTATACGAATGACTTTTTTATTCATGAAAATATATAGATGCCCTTAGTGAATCCGTTTGGTTTTACTCTAGTATCGTTAAGATTAATCTCAGAATAGTGTCACATCCGTCGGCGGTACTACAGGCATTCCTGAAGTAGCAGTCTCCTCCCTTGCTTCTGGAGGTGGTTTCAGCAATTACGTTCGTCTCTTCTTATTTGCGATTTTCCTTTAGACCACTCCTTATGAAGTGTATGATGCAGTTCAAACGTCCCAAATATCAAGATGCGGCTGTGACAAAGTACCTCAACGCTCTTCCCAAAGGTCTATACCAGGGTCTGTTCAATCCGTACGTTTTCCTATGAACTTTTTAAATTTGGGATTGGCAACTCATTTAACCATAGTTCCGGACGGGTGAGAAATCATGCTTGTTATTATTGATCTTGAACTCAGGATATTTTCAGGCTTACCCAGACGTTTCTGCTCAATCGGATAATTTCCTTATCCAGTGGAGAGGAGGGCCCAATGTGGCTGCAGGAACCTCTGCGGCAGCCCCAACATTCGCAGCATTCATCGCAATGCTCAACGACGCCCGTATCCGAAACGGCCAGAAAGCTCTAGGAATGCTTAATCCATTCCTGTATAGTAGAGGTATTGCTGGACTCAACGACATTACAAGTGGGAGCAACCCTGGATGCGGCACGCAAGGATTTAATGTTAGTGATTAAAGTATATTGAATACTATGAGACTGATACGAGTTTCTTCCACAGGCGACAAAGGGGTGGGACCCAGGTAAAGCTATTTCCAAACTCTATATTTTGTGAGGAGTGCTAACGTTGGTTTTTGCTAGTGACAGGCCTTGGGACGCCGAATTTTGGGAAATTGAAGACTATTGTGACTGCACAAAGTTGAAACAGATGTATGTCCTGGGTATATTTATAACTTGAGTAAATCCGAGTTTGTAAAAATAAAACATATTATAACCCCCGGCGGGATTCGAACCCGCAACCTCCAGATGTGCTAAGGGTAGAAGTCTGACGTCATAACCATTAGACAACGGGGGCGATATGAGACGGGACAAATAATATTTGATAAGCAAAGGGTATAATCACGTGAGCTTTGATGAATTTTCCTGGCCCCGTTAATTTAGTAAAGTTTGTTGACCACGATGTCTACACCACCGGTGTTATCGAGTTCACCTGTGTCCATTCGTAATGCTTCTCCAGTTCGTAGGCGAAGCGTATCTCCAGGTGACTTGGCCGATCTGTCCTCAAGGGCGCCTCACCATTCCCCTGCAATCAGATCGTTCAACCCAAATGATCCTCAGGTCAGAGAGCGTCAACGGACCATGGACGTCGATATGGCCATGCAGCTCTCACTGGCTCGAAGAGACACCTTACACCCTTCTCCAGTATCTGTCTTTGCTACACCGGCTACCATCTCTTCTTACGACGCGAATCAACCATCCGCTGACCACACCTTTCCTCCTCTACCCATTCAAGAAGAGGATACAATTCCTGACTTTGAGCAGGGTGGGGCTAGTGATGTCCTCACAAATATGCAAGATTCTCTCTCGATCCAGACTCACTTCCAGGGCAATACAGAAGACGTCACTGCTTCCAACTTCGGTTTACCTACCTACCAAGCCGGTGGACCTTTGTCCAGCTTCGATTTCGCTCGTATGGAAGAATTTGCAACAGCCGAAAAAGCCACTCTCGGTTTCAATTCCCCCACCAATGCAAGGTTCTCCTTAAGTGCTATCCGAGGTCGTCCAAAAGCTAATGAGGGTCATTCCTCATCCAAACCGATGGGTTCTACTGTGACCCCACTAGAGGAGGCCACTGTACTACCAGAGACAGCACCATCAGGCGAGGACGGCCCGTCCTCCGACCAACCCCTCCAGCGACATCGGAAACTTAGCCAAAGCAACCCCTATCCTCGTTCTCACCGCAAAGGCATTGGTGGTAAAATGGCCCTCTTTGAAAACACAAGCACTGACGCACCTTCCTTTTCCGCGCGTCTCGGCCTTTCCCTTGGGGTGTCAGATGGCGATATACCATCAGGGCCTTCTCATAACTTTATCTCAGGCATCCCCGGCGCCGCAAGGCCAACCGGAGGAATCTTAAATACGGGCCATGATCGACCTTATCGCTTCTCTTTCTATTCAAATGCTCTTTCGGCTACTATCCATGCGAGGAGTTTGAGCGAACTTCCTGCCGATGGTCAAACCTTTGAGCAGCTCTTTTCTGGCAGGCCGGCATCGCAACCATACTCACCACCTTATCAAGAGACAAACAAGACCTCTAGTAATCTATCCGATAATACGGAGTCTGGCTACTTCCCCAATAACATAGGGTTTAACGGGAATAGCAATCGTCGGGTATTCCTCGACAAAACTGGTGGTCCTGGAGGGACAAACGATACGAATGTACTAAATGCAGACCAGGACACGAATACCTGGTGGCTAGACGTACAGAGCCCCACAGACGAAGAGATGAAGATGCTCAGCAAGGTGTTTTCCATCCATCCATTGACAACAGAGGATATCTTGATGGAAGAAACGCGAGAGAAGATAGAGCTGTTTAGAAATTATTATTTGGTTTGTTTTAGGAGTTTCGACCAGGACCCATACAGTCCAACACACCTGGAGCCCCTAAACATGTATATAATCGTCTTTCGCGAAGGGATTTTGTCTGTATGTGCCCATCCTTCATTACTTAGAGCTGTTGTTGACGCTGACATATTCTGTATTAGTTCCACTTCCGCCCTACTCCCCACCCTCAAAATGTGCGCCGCCGCATCAAGCAACTTAAAGACTATATAAGCGTCACCTCTGATTGGATTTCTTACGCCCTCATCGACGACATTACTGACGCATTCGGTCCGCTCATCCAGAGCATTGAATATGAAGTCGACAGCATAGATGAGTTGGTGCTCATTTTGGAGGAGGCCGAACAAAGCGACATGTTAAGAAGAATCGGCACATGCCGAAAGAAAGTCATGGGCCTTTTGAGATTGATGGGGAATAAAGCAGATGTCGTGAAAGGATTAGCTAAACGGTGCAACGAGAATTGGAGAGTGGCACCCACCTCCGATATCGTACGTGTCCTCGTGCCTCTCTCAAACCGATCCGACTTTTACTAACTTTTTGGGTAACAGGGACTTTATCTGTCGGATATCCAGGTATCATGGACCTACTCATCCCTTTTCGAACATGATCTAATCTTTATTATTATTCAAGGATCATTTGATCACCATGACACAAAATTTGAATCACTACGAGAAGATCCTCTCCCGTTCTCATTCCAACTACCTCGCACAGATCTCTATCGAGATGACGGAAGCTAATAACCAGATCAATGACGTGTTATCTAAGCTCACAGCATTGGGTACGGTACTCATTCCGATGAATCTTGTCACTGGTGAGTAGTCTTCTTTTTTCCCATGTCGCATCGTAGCTTATTTTTTCTTTAGGTTTGTGGGGAATGAACGTGCATGTTCCAGGCCAGGACGTATCTGAGGTAGATTTATTTTTACCCCGATCGTTAAAGGCATCTAATTTTATGATGTTGCTGTAGGGCTACACGTGGTTCGTCTCCATTATTTCCTGTCTTGCAGTTTTCGCTGTTGTTGGCGGTTATTCGACCTATAAATTAGTCCGTAGGTAATCGATATCCTGTTCATTACGCTATTCTCTCCCGAGGGAATTCTTTTTCTTGCGTGTACAGTTGTGCTCAAGCATTATTTGTGTACCGGTTCGTTCAGCTTCAAGGGTTTATTAATGAATTTCTCCATGATCAACTAGATAGATATTGTATGTATAGCAGTAATGACGATCACGACAGCAAATTTTACACGAGAATTTAGACATAACACAAGAAGCCTACATCTCAGAGTTGAAAGCAAATCCTGATAGGTAATTTCTAACCAAACTTGGAAGGAAAAAATCGATATACATAAGAAACCAAAGTTCATAAGGTTAAAACCAACGACCATAAAACAGTAGGTGTGGGATAGAGAAGAGAGAGAAACAACCTTAAACATATCTGATAACTAGACAAACTACTATGAGGGACGGGGTTCGCCACTAATCAAAGATTTCACAGGGGGCAGCACTGGTGAGCCACTAGAGCCATTTCTCATGGGTGGCAATTGATTACTTCGTGGCGAGGTGTGGACAGCTTGGTTAGTGGGCGACACAATCATCGCCAACGACGGCGACAGAGTCTGAACTGGTCGAGGCGGAGACACAGGCGTTGGCGTTAGAGCAGGACCAGCATGTCGTTTCAACGGAAACGAACTGCGAGATTCATCATCTGTATGGTGCTGATGATGAAGAGAAATTTCTTCTACGTGTTTCCTCTTCTTTGAGGTTGACGCCGAAGGTTGAGGTGTCCCGTTTGAGCGTGAGCTTTCACCGTTACTTCGTCGTTGGGTGGATGGAGGCATGGCAGGTGTTGACATTGTTCCCCATCTAGACCATGGCGGAGGTGGAGGAGCAGAGGGATGGGCCGTCGGTGATGCACTGAAGGTGCTCATACTTGAAGAGGCGTGGGGTCCGGTAGAGGTGGAGGAGTGAGGGTTATGATGGGAGAACGAGTGGGAACTTGAAAGATGTTGTCTTGCAAGCACGGGTTGAGGATTGGTAATTTGAGGTCGTGGTATGGGGGCGGATGCAGACACTCCTGTGGCAACGCCATCTGACCCAGGTTGGAACTGGATAAGCTCAACGAAGAGTGTTTGCCGGTAGGGCGCTGTCAGGTGCAGGTAAATGATATCCTTGCTGAAAGTGTCAAACATGTCCTTAGTGTTCACATAGATGTCAGGCTCATGAGCTTCGTTGGAGAGAGTAACTGCAAATTCAAGTCAGCAACTACCAAATATATAAATCAAATATGAAGATACGTACTGGAAGGTTTAACCCGAACCTCCGAGTATTGGTAGATCTTGCCTTTCCTCAGGCAACAAAGAGGGCATACGAACCGAGGATTTTTGGGAGGATTTGTTTTGTCAAGTGGATAGAATACACAGCCAATGTGGTAGACCTTGCTGCAGAATTCACACTCCACAGTTGGGTAGTCCCTCAAATAAGCGGTCCGTCCTCTGCAGATACACCTTGTGCCATCTGTCCAATCTTTGTCAATATCCTGTCCAAAGGTGAAGCGCGGTCGACGTCTTTTCTTTGGCCGTGTGGGCGGCCGACCAGCAAGGATACGATGCAAACCAGCAAGATCCAAGCCAAATGATATGTCTGGATTTGGTGAAATAGCAAACTGAATTTTATAAAGTTTACGCATGTAATGTCGCACATGATGGATATATTCGGGGCGTTGATGAGCCGGGACGGAGGTGTAGGATAGAAATTGACCTATGACAGACGAAATCCTGTCAATGCGGTGAACAATGATTTCTAGTTGCTTGTAATCTTCTGAGTAATTTTTGGAGATTTCAGGCGCGCTGCCTAGAATAGTTGGGAGAAAACAGAAGTGGAAACTACGTTGCTTATGGATAGTCCCATTCCAGTGATGTTGGTCGCAGAACGGACATGATCCGCCATTCTTGGCGCATTCACCGTGAAACCTTGCAAAACAATGATCGCATTGAACAGCATCTGACATGACACCAGTGGTAGGAGGCATCACTGGCAAATTGCAGATACATGTATAAAATTCGTCGGTTGGGGGGAGGTCATCGTCGGGCTGAGTACATTCGATGACATCGTCAAGAACAGTTTGACTGTGTGTTTGCTGGTGTTCTGCGCAATACCAGGGTATATCCTTTAACCAAGCCTCATGAAGCCTCAACTGAACCTCCAACTTATCGAATGTTGGAAGCACGAACATGTCCAAGTGATCTCTAGCATAGGCTTTCCACTTGGCGATTGCTTCAAAAACGTCTTCCTCGCCAGCAGGATAGCGATTCCGGAGAACGTTCTCGCATCTAGCCTCGAGATCTGCAGCGATATCGGCACTTCGCTTTAACAACTGGACAGAATATATGTTGTAATGCTTCGATGCTCGGCTGGAGAGCCTCATGACATCTTGCAACCTCGCTTTGGCTCCAT